CTGGTGTCACCTGCTCATATAGGTCTCACCTTCCCCTTGGCGTTGCCTGTGTAAATGTATTCCCCTCGTCTGTCAAAGGAGGCCACAACATTGAGATCCGAATCATCATCCACAGGCAGAACAACATGTTTGGAGTCAGAGAGTGTCAGCATCACTGGCGCAGACTTCATGGGACAAACCAAAACCCTGTTTCTGCAAAGCAGAAAAGGAAGAGAGTTACTAGTTTCTTCTCTGGACTTTTTGTTTCACATTTAGAAGCAGAAATAATCTGAAAATGAAAGCTGTCATCTATTTTCATTTTCTTTCTTTTTTGGAAGCTTTCCCATGTTATACAATAATGGATAGAATCAACAAGACATTTATATATGCACTTTTAAGACTCATCCTTTTTCTTCCTCTCATGCCTTTCTGCTAGTTTCATAATAAAGAGCATCACAACAAAACCAGTCACCGTTCTAAACACAAAGAGTCAGTAAACTATGAGCATTGCATTAAAAAAAGCTTTGCAAAAACTACAGCAAAACTATTGTATAAACCTTAATTACATCACTGTTTTTTCACAAAACTTACTGGTCTCGAGGGTGATATTGAACTTTCAAGATAGGCGAAGGGAATCGAAACCTCTGGTCACAGTCTCCAGAGAGAACGTCCCACTGCGACACAATGTTGTCGGTTGAAGCACTCACCAGTTTGTGACCATCTCGACTCCAGCTACAGAGACAAGGGACAACTCCAGTCAGAATGTTTTTCTTAAGGGCCAAACGTGTATAAGCCAACAGGGAGTTTAAACAAATTATCAGATGGAATCACCAGGTTCAACTAAAACTCCATCAGCCTCAAAAGCACCTCCTTTAAGCTCCCTTCTCCCAAACCTTACTGGGGACAATCTTTCCAAGCTCTCTTAAAAGAAACTTAAAATGCAACTGAGCAATAAGGTGATCCTAAAGCACAGCTGAGCACCCCTTAACTCGCTTCTATTTCAGCAGCTCGCCCTATGTTGAGAGCTGCCAGGTATCTGCAAACACCCACACGGGCGGCTTCTAACCAAAACCAGAGCACGTTTGTCACCCTGAGGTTGTACAGCGTGAGCTCGGTTACCACCAACCCCCTGATTTAAGCTGTTTATTGGGGAGGAAGAGAGGGGAGCCGGTCCTCACCACAGGGAGCAGACGGGGTGGATGTGGGCGCTGATGATTTTGGCGATGCCCCTCGTGAGGAAGTCCCAGATGACGATGCGCCCGTCGTTGCAGCCCACGGCGAGCAGGGTGCCCCAGCGGTTGAAGGTGCAGGTGAGCGCCATGCTGATGCAGTCCAAGGTGCCATCGGCCTCCTGCGGGGGCCACAGCAGCGGGGGCCGTGAGGGGACGCCCCCGGCCTCGCCCCTCCCGGCCGCCCCCTCCCGACATTTACCTCGGG